AGCGACCCTGACTATATTTAGTCAAACAGAGGCTTGTGGTTTCACTGACTCATCAATTATAAAGTCGTTCAAAGTATAAATTCGTTTAAACCCAGTTTCTTATTCGTTTAAACATTTGCCAATTTGCCTTAGAGTTGGCTGCCAGTGAAACAATGGGCCAGATGATTGTTTTGGTTTTATTGTGCATTTTGTACTTGTCAAACTGTGTAGAGTCTACAGTGTAGACAATTGTTTTGGCTGCCAATACATCAGCATCAAAATCCCCTTTAGCCCAACCTACAACCCAGCATTCCACATTTAAGGATTGCAAGCTATTTCAGATATAATCAACTGCAGATTATCTATATTGACATGGTGTTTTTAATTGCTATTTTGCTCTCATTGTTTAAACTGATATTTTATGATTTCCTTCAAAAAAGCTTTGTAGGGCAGACAAACTGCAATCATTTCAAAACCCTCTGTGCAATATTTTATGGATTTAGATCTCTTTATTACAGTTTTATGAGGCTTACTTGTTCCAAAATGATTTAACAGCTCGGGGGAGTTTGTATAGCCTCTCCCACCCACCCCACCCCCACCAACCATTCTTGCTGTCTCACAACTATGGAGCAAATCTTTTTTCATCCTACTGTCATGAGTTGCTCAGAATGCTACTAATTACTTGTCAGGCCCTGTCTGAAATAATGGGACCCTAATGTCTGATTGAGTCGGCATTCTGCTGGAATGAGAGACAAAGAGATTAAAGTTAAAGAACAACGTAAAAGCTGAGTGTTCTAATCAGCTTGAAGTTTTCTTCCAGAGAGTAGCTCACTAGGACATGGATTGTTGTGAAGATAGTTCTCTTGGAGTGAAACTTTGTCATGTTGATTTCAAGGAAAGAAAGTTTGCCTATTTGTTTTCAGTCAAGAGCTCAGGATTTTGACTTTCTAAGACACGGTAATAATTTATTGGCTATCTAGGGCCTTTAATCCTCAAACAGATTAAAATGAATCAGTTTTTTGTAAAAGAAATTAGATAATAAATAATAATTATTGTTATTAGATATTAGTTGCACTTTGAGTCCTATATGAAAAGTACTATAAATGTAACTTGTATTGCGTTGTATTCTATTATTATCTGATGTAGTACTTTTCGTGTTGGGAGGACATATCAGCATTTACTGTTAAGTGTCTGACTGTATGTTTTGTAGATGAACATATTGGATTTCTATGATTCTATTAAAAAAGCAAATGGGACTGGTGACCTGGCTACACAATCTCTTATTGTATTCATGCTAGTGATTGAAAGACATTGATTCCCATATGCATGTGCATGTGGATGAGGTTCTCCATCCTGGACTGTCATTCTGGATCTCCATTATAGACCCTAGGGCAAAGAATGAATGCTTGTAACTGCTACTGCCATTCATCACATTGTGTCAACTCAAAAAGACTGGTACTGTTGCTACTCAACTCAGATCAGGCATGGATCAATCATATTGGATAGTTAAATATTGTTAAACTCACTTATTGACTCTCTACCCCCACCACTGTGTGGTGTGCTGGTCGAGCAATGGTTTATAATGGAGCAATATACAGTTTGAAGTCAGACATCAGGTCAGCATAGTGAAGAATGAGGCTTTAGAGGTTTGACCTTGAAAAGCTTTATTTATATACTATCCATTTTTCAAATGCTTTCCTCCCACCTACAACCCCCTGTGGAATGTCTTAACACCTGAACAGCTCACACCTTAACGATTTGCTTCAAGAAATTCCGAGACATTAAATGAATGATAAAATGTTTATTTTTTTGCAGGCAGTATCAGTGATTTCAGTGTTTCACAGCAGCCTGATAGAAACATGGAACATTTTCTCCTCAGAAAGCAGGCTATTCAGCCCATGGGTCTGTGGCACAGCTACCTCTTTTTTTCAGTGTCCCTTTTCATAAAGTGTTTTTACCTCTCAGAAGCTAATGCGAACCTTGTTTAATGATCCCGAAACACAGGAATGTTGACTGGAGCTGTGAGCAGCGGGGTTCAGCATCAAGCTGATGTGATCAGGTAAAGGTAACAGTTGCCTCAACACTTATAAGATCTATATAAATTGATTTCGCAGGGAATGTTAGGGGGCTTTTTAAACCTACTGAGTTGTAGCTATTCTGATCAGCTGATTGTTGCACTCTTCAAACTCGATGGAGGATCTCAATCAGCAGAACCCGAGCTGTCACCCTGAGCCACAGCAATGTCTGCACAGGACACAGCTACACCCCAGGTTAACACTTTGCCTTGATATGCAATGCCCTCTAGTGGTGGAGCGACCTCACACGGAATTTGGTGAAGGATCACTGGGGTTTGTTTGACTCAGAATAGCTACAGAATAAAGCTAATTATTTGAAGAGTCTCGGAAAGTGGCGAAGCGGCGAGATGGCAGTGTTTCCCCCACAGTGGATACAGGTGCTGACATTTGGGAGACAGTGACAGCCTCTCAAAGGCGAAACCAAACCACATTAACCCCAATTACTTTCACTTTAAACTTGGTCTCAAATTGCCAAAGCAATGTGTCATTTTGAACGGGCAAATCTCACAACCCTACCCAGGAATTCAGTGCTATGAGTGATCAGGAAGGAAGCTGTGGCCAGGAAAGATGTATTCAGAGGTAACATTTAGCTTGAGAGCACATCAAACATCACTCGCTCTTCCAAATTCGTATGAAAGATGTTACGAACCGATGGTGAAACGCCGGTTGAAATCGTTTAATATACAAACAGAAGTCGCTGGGAACACGCAGCAGGTCAGGCAGCATCTATGGAGAGGGAAATGAGCTAACGTTTCAGGTCGATGACCTCTCAGAATTCACGTTCCTCTCTCCATAGATGCTGCCCGACTGACCTGCTTCGTGTTCCGTTTTTATTTCAGATTTCCAGCATCTGCAGTATTTTGCCTTGTGTTGAAATTGTTTGCTCTCCAGGAGTTAGTTATCAGACGTTGCCATCAGAAGGCGACTACACCAGAATGTCTGTTATTTGACCTGTTCTTTATTTGGCATTTCCTTTCTCTGAGCATCTCTTTACACCTTTCCTTCTTTAAGCGAAAACTGCCGAGGAAAATATTGCATTGACCAGATGGGAGACAGAACCATTTATCAGTGTGTGTGAGTGTGTGGAGTGGGGGGGGGGGGGGGGGGGGGGGGGTTAGCAAATCATGAAAGTGGCAATCCTGTGACTGTACCAACTCCTCACCCAATACACCTCCCTTTCCACTCCTGCCTTGTTAATGTCACAACTGTGATTAAGAAAAGGGCGGATGCTGTGAAATCTAAAATTTAAAAGGGGAAATAAACACAAATAAATGGTAGAAATGTACAGCATGTGATGGCAAAGATGGGCTAACGTTCCCTTTGGGAACTGTGATGATATTGATGATCTGTGGTGACATTGCACTGGGCACCTCACACCTCTGTACCTAACTCGTTCTCTTAACCTTTGAGCTCAGATGTGAAATGACGAGCGGTAGATTTCCAGTATGTGCTTTTCCATAATAATTATTATTATTGTGATGCCCTGTCTGATTTTTAAAATCCAGATTCCCATGGTTTTCTCGCTGTTCCCCGAGTGTTCGTGTACCAAGTAACACAGCCTGTGACTCCATCAGATACATGTAAAATATGTAAAATATATATCCAGAACAATTCTCCAGAGTATGTGCAGCGTTAATGCAGTCAATCTCAGCTGACAGCCCCGCAGATGGATGGAGAGCAAAGGTTATTTATTAGTTACCCTCAGATCACCCACATGAATGAAACGCCGGCTAATTCCTGACATGTAATCACTTGGCAAATAGCTACTGTTCTAATGGATTAAGACATATTGCCCATGGCTAAAGCCTGCAGCCCGTGTAAGTGCCCGCGCCGTCCAGCGAGGGATTGATCGGTTTACAGATGGTCAGAGTTTGCATTGTTTGCTGTCATTTGGCGATGAGCGTCGGATAAGGTGCAAACGTCGCGTTCAGGTGTATAAGGTTGAAATAGGATCCGCGTTGAACAGCATAACATATATTTAATGTTCGTATAATTATTATTATCATCATCATCATCAGATGAAACCCGTTACCCAGAGGAAGAGTTGTGCCCTGTGTTCCCAGGAACACACAGATCCGTCAGAGTGAGCTGTGCTGCAGCTGTTCGCTTCGCTCTGCTCTGAAGGTGTTAAACCAACAACACCGAGTGAGCAACACAGCAGCGCTTTCTATGTTTTTTGGCCTGGCGGGGTTTATCGATCTTGCCGCACACCCAAAGCCGACCTTTAATGTCCCAGGTCGGCGATCTGCATTGCGTTTGGTGAGTTAGACGGACAGATACAGGTAGAGGTGCTGATCTGGTTGATGTTGCGGATCCAGTGGAAACTGATGCGATAACAGACTGATCAGAAAGCGGGGGATCGTGTGGTTAGCGAATGGTGGTGCGGCTGGAAAGGCGACCGGGTTTCTGTACAGCGGGAGAGAAAGAAAACGTTGCATTTGATCCTTTGAGTTAGGCAGCTCTTGGGATTCGGAATATATTAGATGTCTGGAGTTTCTAATTGGCTGTTTGCACGTTGCTGTGTGTGGCACTTCAGTTAGTAGCAAGTGTGGCTCTGTTGGCACGTTTCACATAGGAAGTCTGGTAAAAGGGAGGTTTTATATATATATATATATATATATTGTGCACTAGCCTCGCCCCGTCTGTGAGGGAGTTTATTTTGAAGACAAGCGTGTTGCTTATCTCAGTCTACAGCTACTCTGGGTGACTAATAACATTGTTTCGGGATAACACACGTTGGGCTGTTTACAGATCAGTCGGCGCTGTATAAAAGGCACAAGTGGCCGATACCTACAGCACAGCAGAGCAGAAGCAGCAAAGGCACAGTCTCAGAGAGCTCACACCCCGCGCCTGCTCCACCTGCACAGACTCACTCTCCATCGCTTTGCTCCGTGAACGAGCAGAACAGAAAGAAACTTATTATAACTTCTTCATTTAATTCGTGCAATGGAGTTTAACGTCATTTGTCTCCTGGTCGTCATGTGGGGACTGTCCTTCTCAACAGGTATGGGTTTCTTGTTGTTGTTGAACACACGGGGGAATACAGGGATTTAACAAATCTACCTGTTCATCTGATGTCCATAACGTTTTAAACAGTGTTACACTCAATACATTCATCTGTTGAGGATTTGCGGGTTGTCAATTGTCACACCTGGGCACGGGGTGATTTACAGCCCCTTCCAGCGACCTCTAAATGAAATGTTTAAACATACTGTGCATTTAAATCGTTTGATAATACAAATCTGTGAAACATTTTATTTTAAAAAAGGAGGTCAGTATGTACTGTGTGCCAGTTTGCTGGTGAGAGGAACGGCTGTTTTTATTCTCGGCAAAGCGTGTTATTTACTGTCACCGCTTTACCTGATGGAGACGTACACACCCGAGGCAACCCCGAGGGTGAAATGGGGCAGAAACTCACTTTATCAGGACTGGGCGATCTGATCCCAAAGTTTTATGACACCACCTCCGCGGCTTCAGCGGTCACTGACCAGCGCTGTGTGTGCGCTGTACACACCGAGGCCGCCCCTCGCCCACTCGGACCCGGAGCTCACTGTGTGGGAATCAGTGCAGTTGCCTCGCGAATGCTCCGTATATGTGTCTCCCACTCCCACTGTACCGGAGCGCAGCGACTTTGTCTTTGTGTAGATTCATATTCGAGGCTTATTTCAATGATTTATTGGCCGATCAACGGAACTGTGATTTCAGGAGGGAGAGCAGCCCAAGGTACTGATGTCCTGCCCAGTGCCCTCCCTCTCTCTCTCTCTCTCCTCTCAGAATAACAGCTGTTATCTTTTGGACCGAACTTTCCCCAAACTCTCGGCAGAAATTCAACAGAGCGTTCCGCCCAGAAAATAAACAGTGAATTCAAAGCCGTGATTGCAAGGATTAATATTATTATTATTATTATTACTATTTCATGCTTTTGTTATAAGTGATTGTAGCTGTGTATTGGTTGCCCAAATACACAGCCGCTGCTAACTGGGGCCACTCCAGATGGTAGGAGCCGGGGAGCTGCAGTGAGACACACTGATTGATTGATTGATTGATTGATTAATTGATTGATTGATTGATTGATGCTGTGGCTGCTACTGCCTCTCCTCTCCCTCTCACACCATCTCCATTCAAAGCAAAAAGTGGCAAAGTTCTCCCATCTCAGATCTAACTTTTTTTAAAAAATGATGTTATTCATCGTTTAACCTATAGTGCTGGCGTTTTCTCGACTGGTTTACCTGGACAACAAACTGATGCACACACACACACATATATGCATATATAATGGTGAATTTGTTACCATTTCACCAGCTTTGTGAGGTTAAAGGATCAGCAGCATTGTCATCAGCTGAAAAAGCTGATGGACTTCGATGTCTCACAAACATCGAAGTTTTAAAACTTGTCAAAACGCTCTTCATCAGAAGTTACCTCAAACCCATCTCTGATTTCCAATCCAAGTTACAATGAAACCATCTGATGCAGAGTCCGCTCCCCCCCTGTCCTGTGATTGTCTGCCCGACTCCACACTCGGGTATAATCGTCTTATTTTCTCGGTTTGTGTCTCTGTCTACTCGTCTCTCTCTCTCTCTCTCTCTCCCCCCGAGACTGAACCTCTCCCCCCTCTCTGTCTGACAGGGTCCCCGGTGTCAGGCGCTGCAGTGGCCGCATCAGCCGCTCCCTCTGGCGACCCCACAGTGAGCCTCGCTCCCCGGCGGCTCAGCCGCTCCAAGCGCTGCTCCTGCTCATCATTCCTGGACAAGGAGTGCATCTACTTCTGTCACCTGGACATCATCTGGATCAACACACCAGAGTAAGTGACTGCACCGCGCCTTCAGAGACTATCGGATGACCAGTGGAGTCGGTTGTATTTTATTCTATGCTGTGTATTGTATTTGTATTTTATGCTGTGAAGCGTTTGAGAAGTCTCGAAGACGCTGTAAGGCGCTATATCAAATGCAATGACTATTATTGCTATTATTATTATATTATTATGTGTAGAGGAAGCTACAGTGTGAAATTCCAAGTTTTTTTTTTGCACCTTACCGCAAATGAAATGAAAGTAAAAGTTTTATTTTAGTCATGTCAGGAGTTCAGAGACAGGGCTTTGTAAAATATACTGTAAAGCGGATTGACTGTATATTTTGTGGGAGAAAAATACAAATATTGCAGGCTAGTGTGTAATGTGTAATAATGTGTAATACCCGCAGCATTCATGTAGTTTGAGATACTTTGTAAACTGGCAGTGACATTTGATATGATCTAAGGTATATCCGATATCTCATAAAATCTCTCTAGAATTTTCAATTTCACTGTAAAGACCGATGTACACCTGTCAGGATGAATTCCTATGTAGCGTGCAACTGCCCAGTCCTCACGCCTGAGGTTGATGTATAGTGTAAACCTATCCCAGTACAAGAAAGCATGCGGGCAATTCTCCAGAAAAAAAGGCTTGCGGGCAGTTCTGTCATCCTAGTGACACTTAAAACCATTTCCATGGAAAGAACCGTGTTAGATCTAAAGAGAAGACAGGAGACTGAGGGCTGCAAAAGGGTTTCTCAGTCTGTGTTAGTGTTGAGGAATTGAAGGGTGCAGAGAAGGCTAATGTGCAATCCCAGGATTTTAGGCAGCACTAAGGCTGGCTGTCTCCCAGCCCTCACCCGTACAAAAAACTTCAAGAAGATTTGATGGAGAAGGGGGGGAACATTTTCAGATTTTACAAAATGCTTCATTTACGATAACTGGAGCCAAACAGTCAGGTTCATGGTAGATTAATCAAAACATTTACATTTATTATAATAATCCTTGCATTTGATATAGCACCTTATCATGTCATTGAGAAGTCTCAAAGTGATTCATAGAATATACTGTAAAGCGGATTGACTGTATATTTTGTGGGAGAAAAATACAAATATTGCAGGCTAATGTATAAAAGGTTAGCCTGCAGCATTCATTTAGTTTGAGATACTTGTTGATATTGTTTATTAATAGTCTCAGTGCCAATGACGTTTGTTGATGGGGGATTGCTTTATTGTTTTGTAGGCGGATTGTCCCGTATGGTCTGGGAAGTTCTCCGCGAGTCAGGCGATCGGTGAAGAACACTTTGACAATGTCGTCAGTCTCAAAGTCCAGATGTAAATGCGTCAACCAGCAAGACAGCTCGTGCTGGCAGTTCTGCGAAGATGGGCACCAGGCACGATGGTATGTAGTACAACACCTCTTTCGCAGTCGCATTCCATAATGTGTACTGCACCGAAACAGGCCATTGCACAATTGGTTTCTTGTGGATGTTTATATGTCACATGAGCCTCTACCCATTCTCACCGCCANCCCCCCCTTAGACTCCCCCATATGTCTCATACATGAATTAGCAAAAGTCATTTTTCCGTGACTGCAATATCTAGGAATCTAAACAACAACAGCATCATTTGTAATTTGTAAACCAATGTAATCGGCAATCACATGGAATACCCAGTTTCATGATGGCACAAATATTTAACAAAGTTAAAAGAAAACAAGTCTTCTGCCCACTCTATCTAGCATTTGTAACTTATACCCTTTGGGAAAATACTTGAGACTTGTCGCTGGATTTCACACCTTCCTGAAATTGTCAAAAAATTTCAAAATATTTTACAGTAATTATTGTGTAGTGATTGTATATTTGTAGGCAAATACAGTGCCATAAATATGCGGGAGGTGAATGAATAATTTAAATGGAGGATTTGTTAACAAGGACAACAGGCGTAATTCTCTTTTCGAATAGTGTCATGGGTTCGTTAATATCCACCTGAACAGGTAGATGAGGTTTTGATTTATCATCTCATCTGAAGCATGGCACCTCTTACAATGGTAGTGCTCCTTCAGACTAAATCAATTCCCCACGCAGGATTTGAACCCATATCCTTCTAATAAAAGGAAAGCAAGAGTGCTACCAACTGAATCAGGCTGATACCTAGCATGTCATTACTTGCCAATAGGTATGATCATTGTGGTACACATTCTTACCTTGTGGCTCCACCCTGCATTGAAGGATGCATTACGCAATGAGCATGCTAGATCATTCTTGCATAGTCTCAGCTGGAAGATGTTTTGCTGGAAAAAATATGATGCATTCAGTTTTACTGGATGACAACGAAAGCAAAGCAATTAGTGCAGTGAGATTGTTTTTAAACCAGAAAGCATCACTTAAAGGGACACATTAATTTTATTATTTCTTTTGCTATTTCGTATGTGTTGCTGGTCGAGGTATGATTTATTGTTCAATGTAACTTCAAGTAAAGATACAAAGCACGTATTGATTTTTAAACAAATCATTGTTTTCTTCTCAAGGTTTCAAATCAAAGACCAAAAACGCAGCCTAGAGGCAGACCCAGGTAGCATTCATCAAACAACACAGGACTGCAAAGGTCATCCACTAAAATGTGCTTATATACATCTCCGCAACATCACAAAAAAGTAAGCTTTTGAATCAAAAGTCGTATGAAATAAATAACTGCGATAATGCCATATGTAAAAATCATTTTAACTGTCAAAGTCCAGCCCGATGGTTCTCAAAGATTGCTATAATTCTTACCTGAAAGTACTCTTCTGGTTCAAAATGCCAGGATTAATTCTGATATATAATCAGTAGAATTCAATTATTTGTGTGCAATTATTGTAAGACAAACATTCATAGATCTGCCAACACAGTTTCATTACTGAGCAGAGAATAATGTAATTTATGCTTTAATTTTAAAGGTTGAAGCCAAGAAAGGGAAACATTTTGCCTACATCGATGAAATGGATAAGCAAAATAAGGAAATTAATGCAAGAAAACCACATCAACATGAAGCACTTACAGGTTTCCAAGGCAAACTCTATGACAGAATGCAATGACTGCAAGCGCTGACAGGTTCTCAATTAGTAGAGATTTTATTGCAGTCAAAGAAAGCAGCACGTATTTGGCTGCTTCCATGGGATAGGTTACCATTCTGTTCTGGCAAGGGACCAGGGAGTGTCACTTCAGTGTGGAGTTTGCCAGAACTGATGGAGCCTAGACTACCACTCAACTCAGCCTTACAAAGGGAGATTCAACAGCAGAAAGGAGTTTACAAAAATGAATCTTAAAAATGGAACATGATTACTTAAAGTAAGCTGAGATACAAACCTCTGCAATTTCCGTTCACAAGCTGCTGGAAAGGAGTGTGTCTGTCGTTAGAAAGGCCTCAGATGCGTATAATGGAGTAAAGAGATCCCCACTGTCACTGGATTGTCACTGGATCCCCACTCAAGAAGATTAAATGGATGGACAAAGCGGATTTCAAAGTCATACGGTCAAAAGATTTCCCTTAAAGACAGGGAGTGACATTCAATACATCAGCTGAAACAATGTTTTCGGAAGACGCATTCAAGACATTTCTGTACATAGAATTATCACAAAGTGCAGATGCTCAGTTTAATATATTTCAGACTTTTTTTTAAAGAAAAATGATTCAACCTAGTTATAGAACTTTTTTAAAATTTGAATCTACCTCACTTTTGTAAGTGTTGTTGAGTAACAAATATTCCCTACGATGTCAAGAGAGAGACTTTTGACACAGCATTAACCCTTCGTTGACACATTTGGTTTGAGCACAAGAGAGACTGGATTATATCATGTTGGCATCCCAATATCTGAATGTACGAACTGGCATTGTGTTTGAGTGTAGTATGGTTCGAATGTATATTATGACACCATGGTTGTGTAAGTGTTAGACTCTCTGGGTAACATAATACCACTACCTTTTAGCTGGTGCTTTTGTTGTTCATAAAACCATTGGAAATTTTATTGCTATATGATATTTAATAAATTAAAGTGATACGGTTACTTATAAGGAAGATTACATTTTAGAAAGTCTTAAAGACCAAAGGCAAAAGGTTGACAACCACCCTAAACTAATTGTGAAGTAACACTAGCATGAGCTGATAAAGGTTTGATGGATATTGCAAACAAGCTGTCTGTTCAGAATAAGTCACTATTGTCATGAATTTATCTAAATATTTAATGTATTGCTCGTATTATTTTGTTACATTCACAGCTTTGGTTCACTGACTGTATTTTAAACATTGCCATAATGAATGTATCATACAGGCCATATTGGTCTTTGTGCGGTATGGTCAGTATGTATTTTTATACAGAAATGTGTTTGCTCTACTTCATTTCTTTGAAAGTAGTTTGCTTGAAAATAAACCTTCTTATTTAATATGAATATGAAAGTACATGGCTTTTTTTACGATGGGGCGTGGAAAATGAAAACTGAACTCGACAGATATTTTGGACACTAGCTATCAAAGTGGAGTCTTGGGAAATGATTTATGTAATATCCTTTGTCTGGCCGACAGTAATCACTCCACTGGCTGTAAGAGTCACTATATAAAATTAGCTTGGGCTTCTTCTACTCTGTTTTACAGAACAGTATTATCCATTATTCAATACAGAATCTGCAGTCTCACTGAAATAGTTCATAAGGTCGGTGAGTGTAGTGTATGGGAAATTCACATATATGCTCTACTGATTTTAGGGGGTGGGAGAGAAGTTATGTTGGTTAGATAGAGACAAATAATCTTCACTATCTATCTGTCCTGTGCTACACTGACCTGGCATTGCTTGATGCTGAGACTCGGGTGGCCTAAAGTAGCAAACTTTTTTCTTTTCCAACATTTTGAGGAAATGAAACAAAGAGAAGCATTCACCTACAAATAAAATATGCCAGAAGTATTTTTATATTTTACAATTACTTTCTTTAAAAAACTAGAAAGGCCTATCTATTCATATTTATATTTTTTCTGTTAAATAAACTGGATTGAAAGGTGCTCCTCTAAAACTGTGAGGTGATCTGGAAGTCCGGTTTAAAAAAGGTATTCTTTTAGCTCTGTGCATTGACCTTGTTGTGTGTCTCAGAGGGCATTCCTGTTCAGTTGTATGCTTCAGTTTACCATATAATTATAACAGAATGTATTTGGACAAATATACCACCTTCTGCAGCATCTAAGATTTAAGGTAGATCGCACTGAAACAGAGTTCCCATGGACAGCATGATATATTTACAGAAAAAGTCTCCATTTACATGACTTGGATTAAGGAATCCCGCTAAGAAATACCACAAATTAAACCCATTCATAAAATGTGCATTCACATTGCAAGCTTTCCGAGTGCACCATTAAATAATAGAGTATAAGCATATCCGGGTACAATAGCTGGATTGCTTTTGATGGGGTGATCACAATATTGTAGAATCTTCTCTATACAGTACACATGCTGTTGAGACTATTACTGATATAGCAAAAGGGCTCTGTATCAGCAGTTCATGTATCAATCCTTGAATTGTTCCATGGTTTGTAATAGAATTTTAATGGCAAACAATTGAGATTGACAAGACGGTATGTTCTTATTGGCACAATCCACCAGATAAAGAAGATGTGGACAGAGTACATGGCCTTTGAAGGCAACTGAGCATACCACATTCCACTAATTAGTTGGTTCCTGATCGGGTTGAATAATTCTCTTAGGCCTCGGGAAGCTCCTCCGCCTTGTGTCAATGTAACGGATGTGAGTTCCTTAACACAATACAAATTTACATTTATTTAGCACCTTATTGGCTGCGCATCCAAGCTGGGGATGGGAGCTGAGAAGGTGGGGAGGGGAAAGATGACCTTGAGATGGACATTGAATGAGATGAGGGAGAGAGCGAGTCAGAAGTCAGTATTTCACTGTGGGATGGAGTTCCAGAGAGTGGGGCCAGTACGGCGGGGGACATGAAACAGGTCGATGCAAGGAAAGAAGCAATTGGGTCGGTTGGATTGAAGAAGCTCACAGAGTTAGGATGGGGCAAAACTGTAGAAGGATTTAAATGTGAGCACAAGAATCTTGAACTCGATCTGCTGAGGAAGGGGGAGCCAATGGAGCTGAATGAGGATGGGGTTGGTAGGCTCACAAAACCTGGTTAATCTCACTAATTCACTTAATCTCCCTAACTAGGCTGTCAGAGCCGCTCTCAGATGCCAGGCTGTGATTGGTGCTTCCCCGTTTTGGGAAGATAGATACCTCTCCCAGAATGTCTGAGCACTATGAACGGGCACAAGTAAAAATTGCAAACTAACATTAACTCTTTGAGAGTTTGCTTACTAGAACTTGGGACCATTTGAGTGGAGCACTTTTAACAGATCAACATTAATTGTTGAATGTTATAGTTGACAAATGAAACACTAAAGTCTAAAATACAGTATTTGCACAGTAGGATTTAAAAATGATTAGTAAATATTGAATCCTGCAAATTCCCCAAATGTACAAAATGCTAACCCAGGGATACTCCACTTCATTACACACAGAAGATTACTTTGAAGTGGAGTTTCCATTGGATATTGGGTAAAAATTGGTAAATGAGAATGAATTTACCCAAGAAACAGCACAGACACAATAGGTCAAATACAATGCAATGCAATACAATACAAATTTACACTTGCAAAATGAGGTGAAGGAGGAAATAAATCAGAGGAACTCCAGGATGGTGTTCTAGATTGCTGTGTACTGATGGTGAAAACCCAAAAGCTAATGGTGTGAAACAGACTGGTGCTCACTGGCTGAGTGAAAGGAGCGGTTGGGTCTTTAGGGTTTGAAGAGCTTGCAGAATTGGCTTTTCTGTGCTGTAAATTTCTATGGGTCAGCATAATATACATCTGGTTACCTGCAGGATTTAATATTTATTCATCCATTTCAAATTTGTTGTAAATACTGTATTTTGAACCTCTCTGTGTAAATTATATTATGTAAAATACCAAGAACTCTATGTGTAAACTAAAATTGTTCTGAATAAGGAAACTTTGATCGCATGAGCCATAATAGAAAAAAGAAAGAACTCACAATTAATAGCACTTTAATCACACTGAAACATGTCAAAGTGCTTCACAGCTAATTATGTTGTTATTGTGCTTTCTATTTCAACTAAGGCTTCTGGCAATAAGGTCAACATTCTCACCACTCTCGGTGTAAAGAAGATCCTCCAAAACTCCTTATAGTTCGACTCTTGTCTATCTTCTATTTATGCCTTTCTGTTATGACTAATTAACAACAACAACAATTTCCATTTGTATAACGCCCTTCATGTGAGTTAGTGGAATAAATGGAAACAGTCCAATTATGTTCACCATAGGAAACTTCTTCATAATTTTAACGCCTCCATGAGGTCCCCCTCTTAACCGTCTCCACTCCTGGGAAAAACCTTTAACTTGTCCAGTCTCTCCTGATCATTGTATCTCTCACCCCTGGTGATATTCTGGTAAATGTATCTGCACTCTCACCTTTGTATATCCTTCTCCTCTCATAGTATGGTCACCAGAACTCCAAATGTGGTAAACCCAAAGTTTTATACAAGTTTAACATTGCTTGTTTGCCTGCCTGCCTGCCTGCCTGCCTTCCTTCCTTCCTTCCTTCCTTCCTTCCTTTTGAATTCTATTTCTCTGGACATACAGCCCATGAATCTATTTGCATTCTTTACGGCCTTATCCACCTATGCAGGAAGTTGAGCCAAAATTTGTACTAACAGCGGCATAGATGCTTGGAGTTCAAAACTAAATTGCACAGACTTTTGCTGCTTGTACTTTGAACAGTTGAGAAAACTAGTTTATTAATCATTGAAATGTAAGTTTGTAACTGTGTGGTCAAAAGTCCTCTTCTTATCAGAAATCTCCCATTTCCTTGCTGCTGCGTGAGAAGTTTGTTGTACATGACAGCACTGGCATCTCAAAGCAATTTGTTGCAATAGTTCAGTCTTGGAGTGAGGCAATTCCCAGATTACTAAATCAGACCTAACAGCATCTTGGTTCACTAGGCAGGTCAAATAGAAATGGGTATAGTGTAAAAATAACAAGTAAAATCTCTGTTCCTTATGCCTCAGGAGACTAAATGTTTTCATCTTTGCAGACTCGAGACCTAAAATGTTAATGAACATTTAAGAATTTATCAAAATTTTAGAAAGGCAGTCTTAAATTCAGTTTTCATTTGGAAGATGATTTTTTATAGTATTGAAAAAGAACTGTGGAAATTCAGCTTCCAATTTAAAACTGATTTTAAGACTGTTTTCCAATATTCTGCACAAGCTTGCATTTTAAGACAATTTAAGAAATTTTAAGCTCATGAGAAATGTAGGGCTCCAAAAGTATGACAATATTGCACATGATTCACAGGAGAGTTGGTATTGAATCCCAACAATACACACTGCCTAGATTGCTTAGTTCGCCCCTACGTGACAATTTTGTTTCAACAATGAAAAGAATTCACTTGAAAGTGTACACCAGTACTATCTCATAAATGGCAGATTTATAAAGTCACAATCATTTGCCGTGAGACAACAGAAAAGGAAATGTTACCAAGCTTCAAGCAACCTCCCCGCCTTTGTAATAGCTTTTGTCCTATCAGCAATGACAGTCACTATATCTCCACTGGGATTTGATATATGAACCTCTGTCTTTGTCAGCAGTGATAGATCCTTCAGTGCATGTAGTAACATCATCATTTACATCAAAAGAGCGATGTGCAGTAGCTCATTACATGAACTATAAAATGAGGAAAGGCCAGCAGCAAAAACTAAAGCTATTGTTTCTGCCTCCCTTTCCATCAAATACAAAGCAGAGAACTATTACAATGGACATGCGATTTATTTCTAGACAATAGATTGGCTTTAGTGCTATTTGAACGAATGATGATTGGGTGAGTTTTGTATCCAAAGGATAGACAAATGGAAGCATTTTAAATGGGCCTGGTCTTCATTAAAAAAAAGTGTTTCAAAACATTTTCCTAAGCTTGAGGATGAAGATGTTTACAATGTCACAATGACAATCACACAAGTAAATGATTTAAATTGTATTTCAACATGTCAGTGCTGGCGCCACCTCCTCCACTGGACATGACTGAGGTATGTCATTTACCTGTGAACAAATAAAGGAGAGCCCAAATCTCTTTCATAAAGATATCCTCTTGATAGCACTG